CCCCAAAACCCCAAAACCCCATATGTCTAAATTATAATATTCCATAGCAATTAATAATTAATCATTATTTGATCGTTGATATGATAGTTACAATAATCTCTAAGATATTCAATGATAAAACGAATACTCGTCTACCATTGGTACTACGCTAGGAGATCTCTTACCGATAATCTTACTCCTATATAAACTATGAGTTTATTCTAATCCAGATGATGTGTGAAGATTCTCAACAGTTGTATTTTGTTGAGAGCTTGTACTAGTATTCATTTATCTTAGCCAATGATCGGGATCATTGTTGTTCTTATTATTGATTTAGGCAATGGTTTTAAAACTAGCCTTTTTCATAATCAAAGCAAGAGCAGCTATTCCCCCAATCATTACAACACCAATAATTGGCAGACATACATATGCAATTAGCATTGAGCTTTGCTTTTGTTCTGGAATAGAATCTTATCCTGCATTTGTCAGATCAATTTAAGATTCTGTCAACTATTAAGATTTAGTTGAAGTTGAATTAGTTGGATTAGAATCATTTTGCGATGAGTTGTTAGTCGTAGCAGTATCATTAGAATTGGTAGACGAATTCGTCGATGATGAATTATTGGTGGCATTTTATGTTTAGTTCTGAGTCTAGTTTTATGACTAGTTTTAAGTTTAGTTCTAAGTTTGGTTTTGAACTGGTTATGTAGAATTTCCAGAAGTAATATTTGGAGAAACAGTTTGATTAGTGTTGTTAGTCATGGCTGTTTAATTTAATGTCTGATTAGCTGTTTAATTATTAGGGAGAGATTAGTTGCTTAATTGGCTACTATTTAGAGTTTAATTTGATGTTAGATTTTAAGTAGTTTTGTTATCAGTCTAATTACTAATACTACTCTAGTTGGTTTGATTAGAAATGCTTGTCTAATTTAAAGTTTGATTATTTGAAGTATTGTTATTTGTTTAATTGCTTAATATGCTGTTATTAGCAGTCTGATTAGTCGAATTAGTTTGCTTATTCGAGTCGTTCTGCTAAGTTAAATTATTTTAGGTCGCATTAGTAATATTCTAAGTAGAATTTGTATTGTTTGAAGTAACATTCGTATTATTTGCAGATGAGCTTGCATTATTTATAGTTGTATTTGTATTATTAACCTAATTAGTTTAATTAGTACTATTCTATTGAGTGGTATTACTGGTGTTGTTTTATTGATTTGTAGAATTAGTAATGTTTGCTTGATTTGTAGAGTTGGTAGCATTCTGTTGATTTGTAATGTTGGTATTATTATGCTGATTGGTCTAATTAGTATTGTTCGTTTAGATTGTAGAATTTGTATTGTTTTGTAGGATTGTGGTATTCGTATTATTCTATTGATTAGTCTAATTATTAGCAGTTGTATTTGTGTTAGAAGTACTATTTGAGATTGTCTAATTAGTAGTGCTGTTTGAGCTATTTGTTGTTGAATTACTCTATTACGTTTAATTTTAGGTAGAGTTTTAAGTTGAATTATTCTAGGTTTAATTTTAGCTATTAGTATTATTAGTTTGATTTTTAGGAATACTGTTGTTAGTAGAAGTATTGTTGTTCGAAGATTAATTATTTAGACTTGTGGTATTACTTGTACTATTTATATTTGTATTGTTATTGGCTGTATTTTAATTGGAATTCGTACTATTTTGGCTACTTTGATTGTTAGTAGAATTTGATGAAGTATTGGAGTTTTAATTGTTTGTGTTATTTCCTTAGGAGTTATTGCTTAATGTAGAATTGGTTATTTAAGTCCAATTTTGATTTGTAGTTTGTGTGCTAGTAGTTGAATTTGTGGTCTAGAGGACTGTTCCATTGCTTGAAATGCTAATTAAAACTTCAGATGTTTGATTTTTAATTTCTCTAGACAAATCATTTTAGGATATGTTTTGCTTAACATCCCAAATGAAGCCACCTTACAATTGTCTAAAATCCTATTTGAGTTTTTAAAAGCTATTTAAATTGATATCTGGAGATTGATCTTATATTTTACTTTCACTTTTTAATTAGAGCGACCTTAATTAAGTCCGAATATCACTTAAATAGGAATTATTTATTTGCTGAGATTATTAATTTTTTAAAAATGCATTTTCTTTTAACACTTTAATTTTCTAAATTTTAGAACTTTAAGTACTCTTTACTGGTAGTATAAGCCTTTTTGCTAAGTTACTATCTGAATCTTCCTACGTATCATTATAGCGTTAATTATTAAGTCCTTTTTTGATGATTTCATTATCTCTAGCATTAAAATATGTATACTCTGCGTAATTTAAGCAAACAGCAAATTTTGTAACTGTCAGGGTTACTAAAAATGCAATAAAATCAAGCCTCATGATTTTAGTCTACTATTTAATTATAATTAATATCAATTATTTTTTTCTTCAAAGATTCTTTTAAGATGGGGTTTTGGGGTTTTGGGGTTTTGGGG